AAACTATCCCAAGCAGGGCTGGGAGGGGGGTATAAAAAGACCTCTGCCCATGTGCTCACTCTTTTTCCTCTCCTCTGCTGCTTCTTGCAAGACCATCTGTCTTCTGCAATAAACTGTAACCTTCTTCCCAAAGCAGTTGCCATGTTTGCTTATTTATTCCCGGCTTGGATGAACCAGGATGAAGACTTACTTCTAACACTAGCTCATCTGGAAATCAGTCCCAAAAGTCATGGACCGCAATCTGATACAAAACTGTATTAAGTGATTATTTGTTTTTATCTTGGCTAATTTGCTTTTTTTTTAAAAAAAATATGATCCTTCCCCCAACACATGTTCTTGTGCCTTTTCCCCAAATAGTTGTGCAGCTCATTTTATCTTCAAGTTAATATAATTGTAAGCCGGGAGTTTCTTTTATAACAACTTTCATTTCCCACAATAGCACATTTTCAGTAGTGTTTGCTATTCACCTTGCTATGTAGAGATGGGCATTCCTATTTCCTTCGGGATGAAGCCTAATGGGAAATCCACACTTCCTGATTTTTGTTTCAATTTGGAAAACTTGGGAAAGTAAGGCTGGTGCCAAATAGAGAGGCAGCAAAAGAGAAAATGCGCCGTTTTACGATCAGCCAGTAGTAGTCCAGCTCTTTCCTTAGACCTCTCGAGTAGCGTGAAGAAGAGCGGCGCGTCTCCGCGTTTATTCTCCCCTCAGGCTCCCGGACCTGATCCCCAAGAGCCAACCAAGCGCGAGGGGCAAACTGGGGCTGGCTCTCCTCTCCTCCAAGAGGATGCCCAGCCGCCACCTTGGCGATCTCTGGGCTGCTGCCATCACCGTGGAGCCCGAAGGCTGGGTGGAAAAGTCGTCAGGTGGGCCAGAGGCTCGGTCCCGCCCTCCCGCAGGGCAGCGCGCCGCTGTTGGCGCCTACAATTGCTCCCGGCAAGCGGCGACCGATGGCTGAGCAGCGGCAGCCCGGTGTCCCCGAGGAGGCGATGGGCAAAGCGGAGATCGCTATGGTACGCGCCGGGTCTTGGGAGAGGGCGAGGGGGGCGTTATTCGGTGCAACAGAAGCGCGAGACGGCGCTCCCTTGGAGGGCTGCTACGGAGGAAAAGGCATTTCGATCCGTGCACCTCCTCCTGCCTTCAGGGCTGCGCGAGGCTTCCCCGGTTGACCTCCTGCTTTGGCCCAACTCTCAACAAGTCTCGGACCTCGCTGGGTCTTATTTTGCGACTGATCGCTCTCAGACTCCCAGAGGATGGTGCCTGTTTACCAGTTGTCCTGTTTTTCAGAGTTTACCCAGCCTTGCCTAAGGCCAGTTCAGGGAGCGGCCCTCTTAGTTCTCGTCTTCGTGCCTTTTTAATTGGTCTGCAGAAGCTTGTATGGATCTTGTCTAAAGAAAGCTTCCTCAGCCGGCAGCCCGAAACTTAGCCACCTGAGGGACGACCTCTGTACTCTCTGGGGCTTCTTACCTTTGCACAAAGATTGCAGTGAATGAATTACTCCGTTAAGAGGCAGAACTGCTGGCTTAGCCCCTTCTATTTTCTTGCCCATAGAGAAAAAAACTGGACTGACTGAGGAAGGGAAGATTCTTTCCTGGACTCCATAAAAAGTATAGGAAGCATTTTCCCCCTCATTGCACAAACTATTAGTGCCCTGCCCTCCATACAGAATATTGCATAAACAATATATAGAATGATGTTAATATTAGCAATAATGTCACTACTGATGGCGACAACTTTTTATTCCTACAGCAGTAGCTGGTTGATAGGATGTATTGCAGGTTGGAAGTGCCCAAAACTTGTGACCTCCTGTAATGAATTAAGCATCAACCATTATAAAAAGGAATGATTAAAATCCATCATCACCATCACCTTAAACCTAGAAACCTGGCTTCAGGTCCCTTGCTTTGACCGTCTTGCAATTCACTTCGGACACACATATAGACTATCATCAACACTTTGTGAAATATTGAATGCAGAGAAAAGGGTAAAAGGTAACCCTTCAATAATCAAAAAAGGAACATGCGCAGTAGGGAATATATAAAGAAAAAAGGGGAGAAAATTGGAATGTATATCAATATAACAAGGGAAAATATTTGAGAATTTATAAAAGGTTTTCTAATATTTGAGAGCAAGATCATACTTCCTCCCCATATATATGGCAGTGTTGCCTTTATGAAAACATTTAATGTCAATATTCTTATCTGGTGCAGCAATTATATTTAAAGTTGGTAATAATAGACAATCTTGTATGTTACATTTTATATATGAAAATCTGAGACAAGGACATTGAGCAATATCTTAGCCTTGGATACCTTTATTTCATAAGCTGGTGCCCTTTGTAGGGTGTTTCCAGCTCATATAGAAAATAGAGATGTGTGGCTTTGAGGGGTGAGAAAAAAGACGCAACACTTTTCTTCCTTTTGTGCCAGTGTTGAAGGATGCCAGCATATGCCCAAACATGGTCCTGCCTAGTGCCTGGCACCTGGCAGTGCACAGATGATGGTAGTATGACATTCAGACCTCTTGCCAGACCGGTCCTGTGGCTTTCCTCTGTAGGGAAGGTCAAGGAAGGTAACTGGAGTGAAGCAACAATAACCGGATCAAGAGGAGAGGCCAAGACAGCAGAATCTCTCTCCCAGGGCCACGGGTGTGCTTTTGTGCACTTTGGTGGTGGCTTCCCCACTGAGGAGGGAATTGCCCTTGGATTTGTGCATCTGGCGCGACGGGGGAGGAGGGTGGAATGGCTGTGTGGAGATTTCATTCCAGGAGAAAGAAGGAGAGACTTCTTTGATACTCCTTTCATCAAAATGAAAGACCTATTGACCTGGAAAGAAACTAGTTAGTTTCTTAGCATGTTTAAACATTGACATAAAAGGCATATTTATTTGTTTGTTTGTTTGTTTGTTTATTACATTTCTATATTTTTATATATTAAGCAGTTGGTGAAACTTAACAGACAAAGGCTGCTGAAAGCTTCAGAATGGTGGAATGATGCATTTTGAAAGGAAGAACTCATTGACTTGCAAAGACCGGATCCTAAGAATCCATAACTATATACCCATTAAATACAGTATTTATATTCAGTTTCTCTGTAATTGCTCAGCAAGGCTAATGAAAAACTCAACAATAAAACAAAGCTGGCCAAATTAAGCACATTTTTAATATAATTTTGCAGTTAATGGGAATAACTACCTCTTATATATGTAGTTAGCATAAAATAATGTAAGATAAGCTTTACCCAACTCTGTGATATTTACTGAAGGAAAGGTTTAATTTGAACAAAGATCATTGGACAAAGGATCTTAATCTTTCTGAAATTAATTAATTGGCTCTTAATTAAAAATCTAAAAAAGATCACATGTGTATCATATTTATAGTAAATTAGCCCTGATTTATTTCTACCCAGTTTCCTGTGTTTGGCAAGCACTCTAGAGGAGTATGTGTTGGCTAGCCTATGGCTTCTAATGTAGCTCTATCATTTATAGGCAAAACACTACCAATATACCTACCTCTCCATACCAAAGGGTCCTCTCTGTAGCTACATATTCAAGCACAGTTGTTTATATGACGAGGAACTCCAGGTTGCCTAATCCCACTGAGTTGATTTCCTGCTCTTTAAGATTTTAAGACTTTCATTATGACCTTTTGCAACTCATCTTTGTCTTTTTTTTCTGGTGGACCAGCACATCACCTGTCATTTTTAATTTCTAAGAATGCCTCTGGGGTTTACATAGGAATAGAAGCATTGCTGTAAACAAAGATGAGGCTGGAAGCGAATGCGTTCTCTACCTTATTCCCTACCTTTCACCAGACTCCCCTACAGCAGTGGGGAGAAGAGGCTGAAGATGAAGCCATCTATAGCATCACCCTTGAGCGAGTGAAGGCAGAGCCTGCAGCCAGTGGAGCATCTTCCTTGGTAGGTTCTGTTATCATTCAAAGAAGAACAAGGCCCTCTCCACTTTTATCACAAGGGAAACAAATTGGTGGAGGTCAGGAGGAAAAAGTAATTCACTGAAAATGAGGCATTTTTCATGCAGTTAGTCTTAATTTAATTATTTCGAAAGGTTTTTCATTCCATTGAAGTGATGGACCTTATCCCTAGGTTTAATGTTAGCTGGAGGAAAGGGCACTCAGTGGCCAATGGTCCTGAAGGTTACATGCAATCTACAACTCAATAGCAGTTACCAGAAAAGTGGTAACTTGTTATTATACTTTGGATTTCCAAGGCCCCAATGATCCTGCACTCAGAGCAGAGAGTGCTGGGCTAGATGGGCCTTTGAACTTATCATGGTGACTCCTTGAACCCAAGCATGTGGTTTTCTTGGCAGCAGTACACAAATGAGATGTCTTTGTCTTCTGCTGATAAGACCCTGAGATGTGCCAGTGGTCTCCTACTTAAGTATAAAGTCCCATTCTGCTTAACCCTTTCGGATCAGTCAAGGAGCCATCATTTACTTCAGCGAGCTTCAAATACTATATGCTTTTGATTTACTTATATGCAAGAGCAGTGTTGCTGCAGGCTTTACTGTTTATCTCATGCCTACCCCTTTCCCAGAAGGAGCATCCAGAAACACCAGAATGTCCTTTTGTCCAGTACCGTACTTGCAAGAGGCGCACATTGCGGGCTGCCACCCTCCCCCAGCTGGTGAAATGGCTGCTGACAGCAAAAAAGGAAGGTGACCTTGGCTACACCTCCAGCTTCCTGGCTACCTATCAAGCCTTTGCTACTCTCATGCAGGTGTTGGAGCTGCTGCTGCCTCTGGGACCAGATAAGTGAGCCACTGGCACAGGGTGGGTGGTGTAGAGGTGGAGAACACAGGAAGCTCCCAAATCAGACCTCCCAGGAAGGTTTGAATTAGGAACTTGGCAGAACAGAAATAGAGAGCGTTCTGCTGCTGTTTCTGGCAATTTCCCTGCAGATTGACTCTTTCACGCTAGCGTAGCTCAGTGTAGCTTCATAAAAATCTAATTATTGACTCAAAGCATATTTTATTTATTTATTTATTTATTTATTTGTTCCCATTTATACCCCGCCCTTCTCCCGAGGGACTCAGGGCGGCTTACAGGTAAATAAAAACAGTACAATACAATAAATATCTAAAAACCAAATTAAAATATATATTAAATGACCTGTATTAGATTTAAAATTTTAAAATCCCTATAAAATCCCCCCCTAGGCC